AACCGCCCTGTAGTACCCTTCGGTTTTTGCATGTTATTTGGGTAAGATCATAATTTACGACTGACCTTCAAGCGACGACAGTGACCTTGGTAGAATTCCGCTACTTGTTAGGATCAAAAAGGAGGAATTAGGACTGGAATTGCGGGTTATTAGGTGTGGTAAAGAAGTAGAGAATCGTTAAAAATTTAGAAGCAATGGATAATTGTTTCATCTTAGTGTTAAACTCCTCTTTAATGTGTACACACAATCCTACCAGAGATCAAACTCCAGACAATTAGGTCTCTCTGAGAGTGCTTAATCTTTAAATTACTAAGACTGAACACGACAGTCTCCATGTCAATAAGTTTGAGATAATGCATTATTATCTTTCATTTTCGCCGCTGGATAACTGCCTCACAGACAACACAATCGAATCCCACAGATCATAACTTGGATATATATATTGAAAATCAATAACTTTCACACAAATCACGAGAAGAAATTATTTAATTCGTAAACATTAAAAAATACATTTGCAAAATTGTACTTCAGGCTTCTTTATGTTGAATAATAATAATAATGTGGCTAACTAAATCAAGCATAATAGTAAAAATAAATTAATTTAATAATTTACTTTTGTAATAAATTAGACCCTTTCTTTTTGTTCTTGTGGCTGTTGTTGTTGTTGAAATAAAGTTTGACTGAATTTGGACAGTTTTCGACAGTTGGTATATGTACCTAACAAATTGCTTTGATATAGTCATTATGTAATATAGATCTTACTAAGAAGTTCCAGTTGTAGCAGATCAACAATTGAAAAACATCTGGAACTCAAAACAACTGTCTGTCAAACAACACAAAGGTCAGAATTTTCAATACATATGTCAATACAGTTCCACTGTATGGAATTGAAACCTGGAGAACTATGAAAGCCATCATCCAGAAGATACAAGTGTTTATTAACAGTTGTCTACACAAAATACTTCGGACCTGTTGTTCGGACATTATAAGCAACAACCTACTATGGGAGAGAACAAACGAGATCCCAGTGGAGGAAGAAATCAGGAAGAATCGCTGAAAGTGGATAGGACACACATTGAGGAAAGCACTCGACTGCATCACAACTTAAGCCCTCACATGGAACCCTCAAGGTCAAAGAAAAAGAGTAAGACCAAGGAACACATTACACCGAGAAATGGAAACAGACATGAGGAGAATGAACAAAATTGGATAGAACTGTAAAGGAAGGTCCAGAACAGAGTGTGTTGGAGAATGCCGGTCGGCAGCCTGTGCTCTATTGGTAATAACAGGCGTGAGTAAGTAATTAAGTAAATAATTGTTATATTCGTAAGGTAAGTCACATTTCAGTATATGGTCTCTTTGAGATCCCTATTCATTAGTTGCTGTCAGTTGGTTACTATGAATTAATCAGTCATTGCATTTAGTTCTTTACATTAAGAAATTACTTTCATTTTAGTGATGTTATAAGATGGAAACAAAGTATATGCTTCCTGAGACTTAAAAGATATCGAAGAATAACGTAACGCAACCATTTGGCTAGGCTTGACAATGAAGATTGTGTATATATTTGATGGATGTATCTTAAGCTTATTCCGGTTGATCTTAATGGTTACTGTTATATATTGAGAGGCTTAAACTATTTTTGATCGATTTTCATCATGATAAGACACAGTGCATATTTGTTAGAGAGGATTTCAGTTTTCGACGATGTTTTACACTCTACTTTACAATTTTATATAATACGTCGTATTACGTAAGGTAAAAACATCTCGGTAAAGCATAAACAACGAACATAACGAATTAAAACCGATCATTTCTACATCTCACTTTCTTACAAGTCACTTAAATACACAATAATTTCCTGGTTATATTACAGACTCAATAACCGACTGTGAAGTAATTCGTCTCGAATTTATTAATAATCTTTTGTTTCTGACATAATACAATCCTGGGCTGTTTTAAAAGAACAAAAGACATTGAACTTATATTCCTATCAAAAAAGCCAATTATTCAGTAACTTTAAAATATAGTCGTGATAAAGAATAATGATGTATTCAAAATAACAGCAACGATCATTGTTATAATAAAACAATAATACTAGCGATGAATCTATTTTTTTCTTTTTAAATAACTATTCTTAAACATAAACTTAATTGGTAAAACTATTCAAATAGTCTTAATTGATGTAACCCTATTAAGAATACAAAAACAATACTTGATTATTGTTGACTTCTTTATGGAATAGGACAGCTGACAGATACTATCCTCCTTCTTCTTTGTTTTGGTGATTGACTGGATTATGAAGACCTTGACATCTGAGGGGAAGCACGGAGTACAATGGACAACTTGGAATCAATTAGAAGATTTGGACTTAGTAGATGACCTGGCCCTCCTATCCCATACACAAACAAATGCAGATTAAGACAGATACTGTAGAAGCAGCCTCTGCATCAGTAGGACTCAACATACACAAAGGAAAAACCAAGATCCTCAAATACAACACGGAGAACACCAACTCAGCCACACTTGATAAAGAATCTCTGGGAGATATGGAATCTTTCATGTATCTAGGAAGCATTATGGATGAACGAGAATGCTCTGATTCAGATTTAAAGGCGAGGATTGATAAGACAAGGGCCGCATTCCTACAACTGTAGAACATATGGTACTGAAGACAACTGTCAATCAACATCAAAGTGAGAATCTTCAATACAAACATCAACGCAGTTCTACTGTACGGAGCTGAAACGTAGAGAACTACTACAACCATCAACAAGAAGGTAAAAGTATTTATAAACATTTGTCTACGCAAGATACTCAACATCCATTGGCCGGATACCATCAGCAACAGCCTTCCCTGGGACAGAACAAACCAGGTCCCAGCTGAAGAGGAAATCACGAAAAGACGATAGAAGTGAATAGGACATAAATTACGGAAATGACCAAACTGCATCACGAAGTGAGCCCTAACTTGTAATCGTGAAGCGAAGCGGAAAAGAGGAAGGCCAAAGAACACAATACGTTGGAAGACAGAAGCAGATTTGAAAAAGATGAATAGAAACTGGGAAAAGCTGGAAAAGATTGAGCAGGACTGGGTTGGATGGAGAATGCTGGTGGGCAACCTATGCTCCTCAACGAGGAATAACAGGAAGTATTATTGAATAATAAACATTGATGACTGAAAGAATTCAGTATGACAAGGATTACCAGTACTATGTAGAGATATGTGGACATACATATATGTATAAGGTAGATATGTAGTGAACGAAAAACTCAGGTGGAGAAAGTCAATTTACTTTGTAATACACAGAGTGCTTTCATAAAATATGTAAACCATACATTAAATGCATTATTTGCACATTTTTTCACCAGTTGTTCTTTACACACTCCATTATTTCTTTTAATTCTGTTGTTATTTCGATCGCTCTCCGTTCTCCTCCCTGTTCCATTCATTGCAATCTTCTGTTACCAGGCATTCCACTTCCGATCGGTGTTACATACTACCTATATCTGTCAACATAAGTATCATATACAACAGACATAACTAAAATAATATGAAGGTTAAAAGGCAATCATTATCTAGAATTCAAGCATTGATCGAATCGTTTGCGCAATAATTATAAGACATTTGAAGAGTGTACATAAGTTTGAAGAATTTAGTAAGTGAAGATCATCACTGAATGAAAAAAAAAGCGATTCTTCAATGGATGAAATAATCATTAGTATAGCGAAGACTGTAAAAATTAATATAAACATTACTACTAATTCTATCCTCATTAGTAATAATAGAAGAGAATTCAGCCAATTCGTCATGAGAATGATAAATTGAGGAAGGCCAAAGAACACATTTCGTCGTGAAATAGAGGCCGGTAATAAAAGGATGAATAGAAACTGAAAAGAACTGGATAGGATTGACCAGGACAGGGTTGAATGAAGAGTGTTGATCCGCGACCTATGCTCCTCCATGAGGAGTAACAGGCGTAAGTAAGTAAGTTGTTATGGATTCGACCAATAAACGTTTCATTTATTTTTAATAGTTGAATTCATGAGTCGATTAAAGCTAGATCACCATGGAAAACCTGGAAGCACTGCATGGCCTTTCCTTAAACATTAACATCGTTGAATGCTGGCGGGCTTAGTGGTATAGAGGTTAAGCAATCGCCCGCAAGACCGAAGGTCCTTGGCTCAAGTCCCGAGTGCGAGATCATGTATGCACACTGTTAAGGAGTCCTATACTAGGACAAAACGGTTATCCAGTGTTTCCAGATTCTCCATAGTGATCTACCTTTAATCAACCTATAAATTCAACTAGTAAAAATTACTACAATATCCATAAATTCCTATTCTGATAAGTTTCATTTATTTATTCCTTGAATTTCTGTTTTTCTCCTCTCTCTCTCTCTCTTTCTCTCTCTCTTTCTCCCCTCTTAACTTTTGAGTTATTTTTTTTAATGCCTGTCTAGTTAGCAATTCGTAGATAGTCAGATATTTAAATTGTTCGATCAATAATTTCTCAAAATAATCCAATCGACATGATTTCCCAAGGTCATTCCATTCAAATACTCAATCAACTCATCAAGTGAGTTTTAAGACCAATCCTACTCAAGTTATTTTAAATATAATTCACAATTATATAAATAAATATATATATATAAATGGATCATAAATAAAGAATGAACGGATTATTACGGTGGAAATTCTGATCTTCCTAAATGTAAATCATTTCGGTGTTTGTTTTTGTTATTCTAATTATTATTATTATTATTATTATATTATACCCTTGAAATAAAAAAAACGATACGTATGACGTAATCACTGTTTATTCTTTTGTTTTTTCCCGTAGTTACTATGATCATAAATAAATTGTTTTTCAAAAAAAAAACAACCTAAAAACAAGAATTATCAACGTTTCTTTTTTTTCCTCTTTTTCTTTTGCTCTTTTTTTTCTGTTGTTATTGCATTTACATCTAAATAAGAATGAAATTCTATAGAAAATCGTTATGAATGCATCAATTAAACGTGAACATTTAAAACCATTATCACCATCTGCATCATCATCAATTCGCACAGCAACTATTAATAATCATAATCCTAATCATTATAATATTGCTACACGTTTAAAAAGTCGTTTATGTTCAAATTCATGTTTAAAAATTGTTTATTTATCATGTGCTACATTAATATCAGCTAGTTTTATTATTGAATGTATATTATTACATTTAATTATTGTACCATATTTATCTGAATCAATATTTGAAGAAGGTATGTGTAAATATAGTAGTTCACGTAGGGATGATACAAATAAACGTTGTGAAAATAAATGTTCTAAAGAACGTTCTACATTTCCATGTTTACAATTAAAAGTAATATTTACACCAATACATATTATACCATATAAAAAATCCAATCAGGAATTAATCAATAAACGTATAAATTACAAAAATCGTAATAATAATAATGATAATATAGATCATATAGATAATTCATTTAGATCTATGATGGATTATACTAATACTATAAATGATCCTAATCTTATACATTCTGATACATCTAATTATACTATATATTATGATTTTGAATCATCAGAATCACGTATAGTTTATTTATATGATTATTTTAGTACATTTACAGCATATAAAACAAGTCGAGTAAGTTGATTGAATATTGATTGATTATTGAATGTTTACAGTATATGTTGACAGTATAGTTATGTTAATAATAATAATAATAATAATAATAATAATAATAATAATAATAATAATAATGGTAATAACTATTATTTGTAGTATAGGGTTGTGAAAGTTATTTAGTTTTAATTGAGATCATAAACTGATCAATGTTAGATTATCATTAAAAATCTGGAAGTTCAATCGAATCAGTTGTGAATTGGTTACTTCTTGTACATAGTGAAGGATGAACGAACAATATTGTAGATTGGTTGAAGTTAAATGTTAACAGTGTTGGATTCTGGTTTACTGGCACTAGAAGTTAAGTATTTTTGCAAGATTCAATGTCCTTGGTTAGAATTCTATGTTCGGGATTATGAATGAGCATTGTTAAGAAGTCCCATACTAAGATGAAATGGTGGTTCAGTGTTTACAGATTTTCAATAGTGATCTAATATTGATCGGTTTATAATCTCGATTATTATTTTTATTATTATTTCCATTATATGAATTTATTGTTCGTTATAATTTACAGGCTACTATGATAAGAGATTACAGTCTGAAGTTAGAGATCAACTCAAATTGAATTTTACTTAAAACTTTCAGTTGTCTAACTAAGATCATTTCGACGTCAGGAAAGTATTTGTCATAAGTGTTTTAGTCAAGATTGAACATTGAAGATGAAACTATATAAAAAAACAGCCTTCACTACTGCTACAACTTATCCATTATTTGATATTTTTAAATTCATTGAGAACAGTTAATGCTGTAAAGAAAAACCAATAAAAAATATCAGTATGGGGGTTGTGGAGATTATTAGGTTTTTGATTGAGATCATGAACCAATTAATGTCTAACATCAACCAATCCACGAAATTGCGCTAACACCACTGGACGCCGGCTTAATTGTCCAGTAGGTTAAGCGTTCGCGCGCGAGACTCAAGGCCCTGGGTTTGAATCCCGCGATCGGGATCGTGGATGCGCACTACTAAGGAATCCCACAATAGGAAGGAACAGTTGTCCAATGCTACCAGGTTTTCAGTGGTGGTCTAACATCAATCGGTTTATGATCCCAATCAAATAATAATAATAATTGAATATAATACTAATATAATAAGTTTCACAATATTTGGTCGCCGAGTTAATGTGAGATATTAAAGAGGAAGAATGTTGTATTTGTAAATTCTCAGCGAATGTATTTGAAGTAAATTCAACGTTTCGCCTGGCAATCTAGTCCAAGCTGAGATTTTACAAATACATTCTTCCTCTTTAATCCTATGAAATGTTTATTTTCTTTTAAAAGTTATATTATGTAAGATAATGATCTTTTTTTCAGTGTATAATCAAATTTCAATATTTAGTATCTTAAAACAGTTTTCCATTTATTCATCAATTCACTAATGTAACGTATAAGAACATAATTTTTAATATGGATTTTATTTTAGTTGTCTAAAGATATCTACATGTCTGATGTGAACTCATCACTATAGCGCATTATAACTAGTCAGATGAAAAAAACCCACCAAAAAACAAATAAAGTGTGAGTTATAGCTTAGAGTGGTATCTTAAGTGAAAGTGATGTTCTTATTTGCAGAACATACTGATAAGTCTTGTCGATCGAACGCTATATCCGTTTTCCTAAGCTATTCTGGTAACCCGCAGACTAGAACTACACAGCGACTTGAACACCAGAGAGAAGACGCAAGTATGAGAGAAAATACTTTATCCCAAGGTTCATTCTTGTACAGAAAAACATGGGTATTTATAGATGTTAACGTTTGTTAAATCAACATCATAATTCAGCTAATCCGTTAGCGATATATTATGCTACCGACCAATAGTAGCACGCCACGTTGGAATTCTAGAATGCTCCATCGTGCTGTGATTGGCTAGGACTCTTCGACTCCTTTTAGGCCTCTGGAGGCTCCGTTACAGTTCTCCGAAAGCCGACTCAACACATACTCACTAAATGAACTAAAAAGAATGCCAGATTAATCATTGAGAGCCAGATGCTCTACAAATTTTCAGATACATATCCTATTCCATCATGTGTATAAATAATTTACTAAGTAGGTCATGATGTTCATCAACTGTAAAACTATATTGTAAACGCATAAAGTATCATCATTTACTTAACAGTCAGATGTTTAGAATATTTATTCAGATATTCTTAATTATCAAAAATTCACTCATCATATGTTATTTAACTCAGAGAGTCACATCATATAATCTGGTACGTAATGTACATTGGTTCAAGTTGCCACATACCTCATTAGCACACCAAGATGAAATTATTAGTTCACATCTCAGAATAGTAAAGGTAGTAACATTTTTAACAGTAATATGAAAAATTAGGCATTTGAGATACAGTCTAATGACTATAATATAAGTATTGTATCACTCCAAAACTGGGATGTTCTATATGAGTTTTGGATGAGCGCTAAGCCAAAACAACTTTCCTTGAATTTTAACAACTCATTCCACCAATCAGTTACTTTAAATCAGAGTGAAATTCAGCACGATTTAAGTTGTCACACCTTAAATCACTATGATATATAATAAAATAAGATGAGAGACGTAAAAGTGGAAATAATATCAAACATAATGAGAAGCTATGGTTAGACACTTAGTGTGATCAACTTCAATTCATATCACTCAATTTCTCATTTATATTGATTACATTTATATCGATTATCTTAACCTAGATTCATTCAAATATTGATGAAGCTCAAAACAACAGTTAATGACTATATGAATCGATGTCACATCATAATTCTTGGTGTAAACTATTATCTAGATGAACTATTTTCTATAAATTACTTAATTAATTTTCTTCCTTCTTAAACATTTATATTTTTCTTGTTATTATCAAATATCATCGGAATAGATTGTTCGATTAGCACGTATAGAGCTTTTGATTGACTTTAGCTGTCCCTTACATAACCGAATAAGATGATTTTTGAAAATTCCATAATGGACTTGACTAATTACGAACTCACTCCAACTAACTTCATATTTTCGGTTCTATTGATTGGTTAGTTTGTAAAATAGGTCAAATACCTTAATTATTACAGATTGTTAAATAACCTATATTGTCTTTTAATTCTCTTCATTTCCTATCAAGAATATACAATTTTATTCCATTATTTCTAAGGAAAGATTATCATCTATTCATATTAGTTTCAAATAATCAATACTATTTTTAGGTTAATATAGTCGGGAGAGAGAGAGTGACATAGCAACATTCTCCTGTCCTATACTTAAGAATTTTTTTTAAAATTGTGTTATAACGGGTGTGTGTGACTGCAGGTTTTAGATACGCAGTGTTATTATCGATCGCGATCTGTGACAGTGACACGGTAAACACGTACGGACGACCTAGTGCCCTGATTGGCCCTGCCTCGCTGTCTATCCTAGCCAGTTGAGTCAAGAACACAAGTCACAGCCTCTGGGTTATGAATCATTGTATTTCAAACATACTCTATTTATATACCAAGCAAACAAACCACATCGTACCATAAAATAGGAAACAACATTTGTACAATATTTAACAAGTGAAATAAACATCGACCAATAAGAAATGTACATTTAAGGTTCAAGGACACCATTGAACTTAACATGATAATTATTGGTCTCTTTTTCCGACTATCCTAACAAATTGAAACTCTAAAGATCCCATTATTCATTGAAATGAACACTAATTAATCCGAGTATTCTGTATATAATTATAATTGAATTTAGATTATTATACGAAAACATTAAATCCAATGTTCAATGAAAACAAAACAAAACAAAACAAAATCTATATTGAGATAATTAAGATTTGACCTTGAATGAAAACAAATTTGTGACCTTCCTTTTTGTTTCTTTTTCTTCAAAAAGAACTTCACTTAATTCCGAACTAAATCCATTTGATTTTGTTGATTTAAGTTAAGCTTTTCCTGATAGTATCAAGTCATGAAATTATTAACTAATTGAATATAATAAACCTAACAATATTCTTCTTTATTGAAATTAAAACTAAACACACATACAAGTAAACAGTTTTATTTTTAATTACATTCTTATCCGTGATAATAGAGAAGATTTGTAGTTTAGGCTGGATGATTTCAATGGAACTTTGTTCTCTGAGCTGGATGATTCTTATCCTTTCATTATATACCATTACTTATATATATATGAAGTTTTGTCTAAATTTGATTGAATAGTTTCAGAATATTTGGGCGCCGAGTTAATGTAAAACATTATAGACGAAGAATGTATTTATAAAATCTCAGCGAATGAATTTTGAAGTAAACTCAACGTTTCGCCTGGCAATTCGGTTCAAGCCTTTTCAAGGAAATGTAATCAAACATCAAAATTATCGAATATAAGTAGGTACATGTGTTGTGAGTTTATGCCGGCTTTTTATCACTGATTTATCCACCAATCAAAATACGACTTATACAATCTTAGCACTGTGCCAAACCAATGACGTCCAACCGGTATCAACAGCCTAGCGTATTTATTGATCCTATGTCCGCCTAGCGTAGAGTCCTTCACATACCTAGGAAGCATCGTCGATGGACAAGGAGGTTCAGATGCAGACGTAAAGGCGAGGATCGGCAAAGCAAGGGTCGCATTCCTACAATTGAAGAACATATGGAACTCAAAACAACTTTCAACCAATATCAAAGTGAGAATCTTCAATACGAACGTCAAGGCAGTTCTACTGTATGGAGCTGAAACTTGGAGAACTACAACAACCACAATCAAGAAAGTACAAGTATTTATAAATAGCTGTCTTCGCAAGATACTCAACATCCATTGGCCGGACACCATCAGCAACAGCCTTCTCTGGGAGAGAACAAACCAGCTTCCAATTGAAGAGGAAATTAGGAAAAGACGATGGAAATGGATAGGACATACATTACGCAAATCGTCAAGAGACAATCCCTAACTTGTAATCCTGAAGGGGAGCGGAAAAGAGGAAGGCCAAAAAAC